ACACACACACACACACACACACACACACACACACACACACACTCTAGGGACTGGTCCTGCTATCCTCCTGGCCCGCCATTCTCTCAGAAAGCCTGTCCCAACACACAGCAACAGGAGGTGGCCAGCTTGAGTCGGACCCTGGTGCTGATGGGGGACACCTCTTTGCTTCCCGAGCCAGGGCTCCGGCACGCAGCCCTGTGTCCCCGTGGCAAGTGGGGACCTCAGGGGCGGCCATGACCCCCTTCTCTTCACCCCCATATCCCCTCCATCCTCTGTTTTTTCCCAGACAAAGGACAGGCCACGCTGGGGACAGAGAGACTCTGCAAGCTAAAACCAGAAAACTTAGGCCAAGGAAGCGCAGAGCTCACCCGGCTCCCTGCGCGGCCACTGAGTCTTAATCAAACCCACATGTGACCAGCGTAGCGGGCGGGCAGGCGCGGGGGGTGGGGTGGGGGACCCACTAAGTGGTGGTCTTGCCAGGTTGCTGCAAGGCCCGGGGGTCCCTCCCCTCAGCCCTAGGGGACCGGACCCCACAGCCCTGCCTTGGTGGCAGGGACAGCCAGAGCGCTGCCATCCCCACGGAGAGACACTGGTGGCCCTTGTCCCACAGCCTGCCTGAAAGACCAGCTTTTATGCAACTTTCCGTCCACGGATCAGGAGGGCATCCTGGCCGATGCAGCCGGCTCAGTTCCTCACCGGTCAGCGCTGTACTGCGCCCAAGCCTCAAACACCCCATGCCTGTCTCCCCGGAAACCCTCCAGCATGCACCCACCTCTGAGCTCCTGTAATGACCCAGAAGGTTCTGTGTGTTCGGAATGTGGTCAGTGGCCATCAAACTTTCCTCACTCAGCCTGCAACAGAGGCTTCTGCCGGGTCCTCGACTCTACCCAGTGCCTGGCAGGGTCTGACCCACTGGGTGCCGCTGGACAGGCAAGACCGGGTGCCTCTGCTGGGTGTGGCAGGCTGGGCATTCGGCCACCAGGGTCTCCGGTCCCAGCTCCAATTCTCTGGCCATGACCTTGAGGCACCCCCTCCCGCACCCCCCCTGCACCTCAGTTTCCCTAGCAGCTAAAAGGAAGGAGGAAAACGATATGCCTAGGTTGCACCCCTCAAACTGACCTCCACCTCTTTGGTGTCTGGGGTCCCCTCCGTCCCTCTGAAGTGTCTGGGGGATTGGAGCACCCCCCCTGGAGTGAACGGAGGGATAGAGAGGGGACGTTGCAACTTCCCCAAGTTCATCTGGGGACCCACAGACAGGACGCTAGGAACCTTCCCAAAAGAGCCACGTCCGGGGACTCTCCGGGTGTAAGGGAGGTCCCCAGGGATCTCCACCAAATCCTCAGCCCTCCAGGGTGCTCCCTCCTCCAGGAGGCCAGGGGTTCAAGGGTGTCTCCCCCACCCCCGTGCAAGTCCAGCGAAGGAACTCCAGCGTCGGAGGGTGCGGAGGGTTTCCCCCAAAGTCCAGGAGCCCTGGAGGGAATACTAGGCACCCCTGAAGTTCAGGGGGAGGTGCGTGCGCTGCAATCCCCAGGGCTGGGGCCTCTTGGGGTCCCCGGGGGTCCCCCCTCCGCGCTCACCTGGGGTTGCTGCGGTTCCAGTAGACTGCGTAGCGGTCAGCGTTGGCGCGAGCCGGGTCCTCGTTGCGCGCACGCAGCGGCAGCAGCAGCAGCAGCAGCGGCAGCAGCGGGCGCTGCGCGGGCG